ATTCTAAATTAATTTATAATTAAACCACAATTTTTTCACCAAATTTTTTTTCTTTAACGGATATTATAATTTCTCCATAACCAATCTTGACAACCAAACAAATTCAAAGCATTTTCTCAGCATCCAAACATCCAAACCATACCATTTTCCAGCCAAACAAATGGAAACCACTAAGAATTGCTTCTTTACCCAACTGCTTCTGTTCTTTCCATTTTGAACCCTGCAACTTGGATAATCTCTTCGCAAACAAACATATAACAAAAAAAACAAAAAAACAAAAAGTGGAGCCAAATTGGGTTCACAGAACCCAGCAACTGGGTTCACCGAACCCAACAGACACAGAGGAAGAAGAGGAAGAAAGAAGAGGAAGAAAGAAAAAGAAAAAAAAGAAAGGAAGAAGATGATCGAAAGAGGGGTAGAAGATGGGTCAAGAAAGGGAGATAGGTAAATTTGTAATTTTTTTATTTTTTTATTAAGGTAAAATCGATTTATGAGTTGAATGAGTTGGCAATGACGTGCCTTAAAAAAAAATTCCAAATCAGAGTTTTTTTAAATTTTTTTTGCCATCTCATCAAAAAAATTATAAAAAATGCCACGTGTCGTAGTTAACGGTCTAAATTGACAGAATGACTAACAGAGTGCATTTCTTAGAGTTGAGGGATCAAAAAAGTGCAAAAAATTGTTGAGGGACCAAAAATGTGCAACTCACTAAAGTTGAAGGATCAAATTTAGCATTTAACCTTAAGTTTATTTATCACAAATGATGCACGAATCACGTTGGTCCATCTTTAACTTTCATTTGATTCATGGTATATATTACTAGGAGTTACTATATAAAATCTCCTCTTGATCTTAATTATACTCTTCAAATCAGTTTTAATGGCATCTAATTATTAAAAAGTATTTAAAACAATAAAATATACTCTATATAAAATAATAAACCTCGAAAGTATAAAATCATGAAATTTTATATTAAATTGATCAAGTTAAATTGTAGTCTTAGATAATTAAATTAGTTCATAATTAAATTTCAGAAAATTAAAGATTTCATGATGAATATAAAAATATTTGATATCAATAAACAAAATTTAAGGACAAACAAAACCAATTTAACAATACAAAATCTCAAATCTTGATCTTCTTTTTAATGTTGAATTCTTCTTAGTCGTCTCTCTCTTGGTCTCTCCCAAAAGCCCTAAATTTGATTTTTAAAGACATATTTATAAAGTTTAAGAACCCTATTAGAAAAGAAGTGGGACTTGGGATAAAATAGGAAATTTCAATGCTAAATATGCTTAACGCATTCTGTTGACACTATAAATTATGTGTTGACACCATACTCGGGTTCCTATCCTTTTTGCAATTTCTTCAATGGTAAAATAACAGATTTGGTCCTCCAAATTTTACATAATGAGAACTTTAATCTCATAGCTTAAGATTCATTCATTTAGGTCCCAAGATGAACCTTTTTCCTATAATTCAATCCCTCAACTTTTAAAAGATATTCAATCAATCTCAAAAACTCTTATTATTATGCATTCAAGTCCTTTTCGCCACAAAAAATGGGAACTATGTAAAATCTATTGAAAATCACATATAATCCTTGCAAATAGTAATAAAATCAAGGCTAAAATAATAGATTAAAATATATAAAAATGCTTCTTATCATAAATTAATCTAAAAATACAATGAATTATACAAATAATAAATAGGGCTATCAATTACATTACAAATAGAGCCAAGATTATGCATTAAATAAATAAATAAATAAAACAAATGCTGCCTCAAAATCATGAGTAAGGGATGGTGGGGCACTGGTTCAAAGAATTGCTCATACTCATAATTAAAGGTGGGTATGCACCAATTGCCTTATAATTTTCATTGTAAACTTGTACAGTTGCTTCATCAATGTAATTGGACCGGTTGAGTACCCCTTGTACTCATATCAATAAAATGGCAATTCAAAAAAATTACATTACAAATAATTTTAGATATTTAAAAGAGAATTATGAATTTTAGAAAATTAAACCTTGGGAGATTAGAGTTTGAGTTGTTAGCAATTACTAGCACGAAGAAGCAACAATCACAAACTTATAATCAAATTAGGGTTACAATTTTTCTTAGAGCTTTTATTCCAATTTCATAAATAAAATTAAAAATAGGGTATAAGTTTAAATATATGAAATCAAAGTGAATTGAAGTCACAAATCAAACTTGAAAACTTAGATGGACAAATAGGTATGGGTATCCTATACAGATATGACTAAAGTCAAAATATATTAAGGTTTTCAGACAGGGAATTAGGTTAGATATGGATGATGAACAAAGTTTGCATTGTTTAGAGAGAGGATAAGATCTAGGAATGTGAATATGTGTAATATCCCAAATTTTTGGGAATATTTAAGTGTAAGTTGGGACTAAATTGTGGAAAAATATTATTTTGGGCTTAATAGCCAACATTCCCAAAGTTGAGGGACTTAAAGAGGGAAAGATTTTGGATAAGGATGACTTCTTTTCTTTTTCTTTTCCTTCCTTCTTTCTTCCCCAGCCATTCCCAATTCTGCTCTTCTTCTTCCCGCTGCAGCCACCCGAAGAAAAAAAAAAGGGAAACCCAGCCATGCCTTGGAAAATTGGTAAGGAAGCTTGGTATTTTCCCCTTCCTTTCTTGTTCTAGAACACACCTAGAACCCAGAAATCTTCCCCCCCTACTGGAAAAGCCGGATCTGCCCTGCTCTACTTTGTCCTTCCGCTGGTTGCTCTTGATTATGGGTGATTTCTGGGCATTTTTTCGGTAAGAACAACCATGATTTCATCCTTTTAGCTTTGATTTAAGTTGGGTGTGCCTTCATTTCCTCTTGGTTCTCCAATTTTTGGGTAGATTGCGTGATTCTTCCCTGCAATGCCGTCGGCTTTCCCCCTCTACTAGGTTCGGTTTTTGCTTGCAATTTCTGGTATGTGACAGCCATTTAAGGCTTAAATTATCCATTTAAAGTTGCTGCTTTGTGATGTCCGAATTTGGCTAAAAATGGGGGATAATTCCGGTAGCTTTAGGACCATGATTAAGCACTAATTCAAGTGGGATTTATGTGATTGAGTGTTAATTGATTGCTGTGATTTTTGGAGTGAAATCCCGTGAGATTAGCTAGTGTGTTGGCCAATTTTTGGAAGTGCAGTTACTGTTCATGTCGGGGTTACTGTTCACGTCGTGGTACTGTTCACGGGTACTGTTCACAAAACACTGTTCACACCCCGAGGGCCAATAATTAACGGGGATTTAAATGATTAGTTTGTGATATAAGAACGAATTTAGAGATATTTGATCATGTGGAGATTGATAGGAATAGCATCGGCATTAGGAGTGATCTTAATGATGATTTCAGTGTGAATTTGTGATAGTCCGATATTAATTGTGGAATATTTTGATTAGGTTCCTGATCGTTCTGTCAGTTAGTACGTGAATTGAGTGCTCGGTTTTATGCAAGTGAGGTAAGTAGATTATGGTAATGCCCTTCGATTTTAAAAGCATGTTTCGATTTGTTTTTGAAGTGGTGGCGGGACTAAACCCGTTTTACACAAGTATGACTGATTTGAAGTGAAATGTTTTGTGCTTTTCATTAAATTTAGCATGCCTACTTGAAATTTGATTGATTGTCCTGATGATCTGAAAGTGATTAGCGAATTATGATTTTTCTGTTAACTTCTGCCTGTTTTGTCTCCGATATGGTCATGTTATTCGTGTGCCCGCTAGTGGGAGGTTTATAAACGCTAGCACATGTCGACATGTTATTGATAGAACCCGTTCGTTCGAGTGACCCTGCTAGTGGGGGTTATACACCAGCAAATCGTGTGCCCGCCAGTTAGAGGTTTATAAACGCTGGCCATGACCTATAGAGGAGACGTCTATTTCGTTCCCGTACTGTATTCGTTTTGCGTGATTGCACATGTGGCATGCTATAAGTTTAAATAAGGGGCACTCCATATTTACTTACTGAGTTTATCTCATAGTTTTCCTTGTCCACCATTTCAGGAAATGAAACCGAGGACGGGGAAACCACGGGAAGTGACGAGTTAGAAAGCTAGCCATTTCGAGATTGATATAAATTTTAGAAATAAATCATGATCTTGTATTTGGAGATTTTATGATATCAGAGAGATTTTATAATTTGATCTTCAGATTTTGATGGTATCAGAGTGTGAATGTGATAAGTTCCGAGCCTTGTGCATTTGTGGGACCCGTCTCACGAGTGCATGGCGTCTGTCGCGTCTCGAAATTGGGTTTTGGGGCGTGACAATATGAATGAGAACTAGGAAGTGAGCAGCAAATATGAGAGATTAAAGGCTTAAAAGAGGAATACTCCATTTGAAAATTAGAGGGAATGGTAGAATTTCCTAAATTGGGGGAAAGTTTTGGGAGGTGGTTGATGAAAATTTCTAGAAGAGAGAATGAATGAAATTAGGTTTTGAGGAGGATTAATTACGATTAAATGAAATTAAAACCAAAATATATGTTTTATTTTTTTCCTCACAAATCATATAGGTTTTTGAATTTATTATTCGGTTGTTTGGTTCTTGGGCTTGGAATTGAACACCACACTATTGGTTGAGGCTCAAACCCATGTCCTAAAGCCCGAAGCCTGTTTGTCCTTGCACCACAAGCTCAATTTTGGCATGGTTGGTGGGCAACCAATTGATTGCGAGCCTCCATGCCCAACCCTATTTACAACTTATCTTTTAGTAATTAAATTTTTAAAAATTTATTAATTAATATTTCAAAAATTAATTATTGAATTGAAATTTTTACTTGTATAGATTATGTAGATTAACTTTTAAATTGATTTAAGAGATCTAATCAATTCATTGATTACACAAAATTTAACACTCTTATCATTGTTTTGAAACTTGATTCAAATTGACTGGTTCAGTTGGTTTAACTGATACCAATTTAAAAAAAAAGGCCAATTTATGATATTAACTTGGTAATAGTTATATCTAATCAAATTTAGTCAAAATTTAGTTAAACTTACCCAAATCAAATCAAACTATAGTTGACTCAAATTGGTTCATTTTTTGACTTTTTTATTTTTTTATTTTCTATATTTTTTTTATTTTATAAATAATATAATAATTAAACTATACAATTTATTTAAAGTCAAATTACCATTAATGAATACCCTTTTCATCCTAAAATAACTATCAGTTTTTACTCTTTCTTTTTTTCAAAATTAAAAATTTAAAGACAATAACTTTATTTATCTATAATGTCCCTAAAAAAGAAGTAAAAAATAAAGAGATTTTTTGTGATTAAATAATTAATTAAATTGAATGGATAATAATTGGGTTAAAGTAGAAAAAAAAATACTAATTTACCTTAAAAAATAAAATATAAAAATTAATTTGAGATAAATTTAGAGTAAAAAAATTACAATTATTTTGAAATGTTGGAAGTAAAAAATTTTAAATTAATCTAAATGTAATTTGAATCAATTTTCAAAAAGAGAATTAATTTGAAATTAAATTATTACTTCGAATTAAAGAGCGAAATTAATTTAAAATCAAATTAATTCACTTTTAAAAATAAAATAAATGACTATTTTAGTAAATAAAACAAATGAAATCAATGCAAAATTAAAACTAATGTCAAGTAATTTTGCAAATAAAATCAATAAAAAAATAATTTTATTAGACATTAACGGATATTAGTCTTAATTCAAAAAAAATTAGAGTCTTAATCTATATTAAAAAACAAAAATCTCAATTCAAAATTCAAAAACCTACTACATTAAATGTTGATATCTAAATTTAAAAATCAATTATATATTTTAATATAAATAGTTTTTGAATATAAATATCAACATTTAATAAGATAAATTTTTAAATTTTGAATTAAGTTTTAATTAAATAAAACAACGTAATTTACTGTTAAAACTCTAATTTATTTTAGAAATCAAGACAAATATGCACTTTTCTCATTTTATAATTAATATAATATCAATTCTTTAGACGGCTAATAAAATATATTATGTATTTTAGTAAATTTCATAAATGAAATTAATTTGAAATCAACAAATTTTGATAATAACTTTTTTATTAATGGATGCAAAAAAGATTTCAATCAATTTTAAAAATAAAACCAATTAAAGTAAAACTAATTTATAATTAATTAAATAATTTTAACAATATTTATTAAATAAACCAGTTGGATTGATCAATTAAATTGGTTGGACCAATTAAATTGAACCTGATGATCAAAACAAGTCAATCATTAGGTCAAGTTTTAAAATATTGTGTTAAATATGTATTAACAAATAAAACTTTTTTTTATCAAAAGATTATAAATATTTAATTAATATAAAAGTTGCTATAAATAATTTATATAAATAGGATTTTTAATCCAATGGTTGATTTCTTAAAATATTAATTTGAAAGTGAATTTTTAAATAAAATCTTTTAAAAAATTTTAGAGGATGACGTATCATACCCCCACCACCTTTTATTTTTAGGAGTTGGCTCTCATTTAAAAATCTAACAAGACACCATGCCATGCATTGTGGAGCATAATTAATGATCTTAGCATGTGGAATGTTGGTGCTATGAGCCATGAATGCAAATGATTTCAAATATTAATTTTAATTTGTTAAGAATAATTAAAAGAGATATGAATCTATACTTTGTTATGTTGATTTAATATTTGACTAAGTTTGTGGTTGAAGTCTAGTTAAAGCATGTTGTTAGATCTCTTAACAGCATATTTTTTTTCCTTTTTGGATTACCCACTTTTTCCTATAGTAATTTAGGCATTTTTTGGTGCTATGGAAGACATATTTAGAGGTAAAAAATATCTATTTATTATCTACAAACTCACTTCTTATGAATCCTTCTCTTGAATAGGGGTTTCTTTCCCCTACCTCTCTTATTTCTGCTCTCTTTCTTATGGCCTTCTCTAATTTATTTCCACCAGCTTCAAGGGTGTTTACAAGTTTAGCATTGCATAGTGTTGGAACTAATTCGAGCAATAGCTAAGCACCCTTAGTTTGGTGTTAGTGAAGCGACGAAGGAGACCTAATCATCTTCAATTCCCTTATTGTTTATTTTCCTAGGTTTGAATAGAATTGGAGGGGGGGATATACAACGTAAGCAATAGTGGTTTAAAGGCAAATGTAAATGTTGTAAATGTTATAAATATTAATTAAAAAATATTGTAAATCATTTGTCTAATACTTGGTTACAAATTCATTTATTAAAATATTTAAAAATTAAATTTGTCAAATCTTCATCAATTATAAATCAATGTTTGCCAATTGACTACATAATGTAGTTAGCCATTTCATACAAATTATTTTGAACTTATAAATAGTTTTCATTTTAATCAACCACTCCAAATGAATTTATATTTTTCAATTGACTTACCCAAGGGCTTATAAATAGGCAGCCTCTACTTATGCACAATAGATCTCTTTGCACTTTCATTCATAATATATAGTATTTTGTACTCAAACTCTCATAGGTAACAAAAGGTGGTGGAGTAGAACTTATTTTATAAGAGTGCAGAACTTATAAAGTTATAACAAGGAAATGTTGGGCTATTGTATCATATGGGTTATGTGACCATAAAAAACTACTACACCACTGACACAAATTGTCTGGAAGAGAGTAATTGATCCATGCCTTAACTCTAACTTTTCATATTTTTAGTGACATTTTCAACTTTTCATCTTTAATTAATTGGTTTTACTAATCTTTCCATTACTTTATTTTTTATTTTTTTTATTATGAGGAACAACAATTTTAGGACAGTTCAAAATTTTCTTTAAAAAAAAAATTGAGTTCTCCTTGTGAAAAACCTATTAAGTTCATTAATGATCTTAACATGCCTTTTCATTTTAATGGTGAGCAGTTCAAAAGATGGAAGGGAAAAAGTTTTGTACTATCTTAACTTGTTCAACTTGGCATATGTCCTTACTAAGGAAAATCCTATTAATAAATCCACTAAAAGTATGAGTACTAAAGAAAAGAAATCTCATAAGAAAAAAGTCCAAAAATAGGAGAAAGATGAATATGAAAAAATATGACACTAAGGAAGCTAGTGAAAGATGTATGTTGGTAGCTAATAGTTGCACTTCCAAATAATGGATGACAAGTTGGTGGTGTCACAAATTCAAGAGTTACAAATGCTTGCCCATGAGTTTAGATCAAAGGGCATACAAATTGATGACAATCTAAAAGCTGTAACCATTATCGATAAGTTGCTATCTTTATGAAATGAGTTCCAAAAGATGACTCACCACAAGCGAAAGGAGATCACCGTGGAAAAATTTTTAACTCATATTCAAGTTGAAGAGGAGGCAAGGAATTAAGATGCTTGAACTATAAATAAAGGTAACATATCAAAGGTAAACTTTGTTGCTACTAATGATAGCTTTCCTAAAAATAATAATTTTAAAGATAATACCCAATTGAGGTCTAAGAAGAAAATTGTGAAAAGAATTATGGGAACCATTCTTCTAGAAGACCAAGTCAAAATTTTAAGAACCAAGGACCTCCTTCAAAACAAAATAGCAATGCATGTTGTGTGTGGAAAGCTTGGACATATTGCTAAAGTTTGCAAATTTTAGAAGTGTAAGCTTACTCCATAAGTCAACATAACTGAGGAGTCCTTTATGGCAATGTTATCTAAAACAAACTTGCTTATGAATTAAATTTGGTGATCAATGAAGCTTCTTAGCCAAGGAGAGGTGGAATTAAATTTTACCATTAGAAAAACATTGATTCTCAAAGATGTGCTTTACACTCCTTAAATGAGGAAAAATTTAGTTTTCAGATTTCTTCTTGGTAAGGTTGACTTTAAAGAAATTTATGAATTTGAGCATTATGTTTTGACCAAAAATGGTATATTTGTTGGGAAAGACTATGCATGTGATGGCATGTATAAGTTGAATATTGATATGAATAAAGTCTCTTCAAGTCATATTTATATGATTTCTAATACTGTTTGACATGCTTGTTAATATAATATTAATAATAAATGTATGAAAAAATGTGAATCTTGTAGTTTGACTAAAATTACTTAAGAAAAAAACCTTTTAAAAGCATTAAAAGAAAATTTGATTTGTTAGAGTTAATTCATATTGATATTTATGAATTTGAGGGAGCTTTTTTATCTGGAGGTCATAGGTATTTTATTACTATCATCGATGATTTTTCAAAATACACATTTATTTGATTAAGTATAAAAGTGACGCTTTTGAAAATTTTAAATCTTTTTAAAATGGGGTTGAAAATCAATTTAAAAGGAAAATTAAAAGGTTTAGAACTAATAAAGGTGGATAATATCATTCAAATGACTTTAATAAATTTATACAAACTTTGGGTATTATTCATGAGACTACTCCATATTCACCTTTTTCTAATGGTGTGACTGAAGGTAAATTTTGTATTTTAATTGATTTGATTAATGCTATACTT